TAGTACAATACATTTTTAATCTCGCTAAGAGGACGTCACACATGCCGGTTTATTTGTACAAAATATTTATCGTATTATATAAAAATGATGTTAACAGTAATATAAAATATCAAGACTTGGACAATGCTTTCCTGACGATTTTATTTTATTTCATTATTATTTTTTTATTTACACCAAGTTAAAAACAATAAAGATACTTCGCAACTCAAATTATGATTAGAATTTTAAAGTTCTCGAAAAAAAACTCATCGACAAGACCATATTTTTCTACTTATCAAGAAACTAAAAACATATCTCAGTTAGAAAATGTTGATTTTTTTTTTGAGAAAAATATTTTCACTGGAAATTGTGATAATTTTATAGAAAAATAAGAATAAATAATCCTCATTACTATACAGAAACAAAATGTTCAGAAATAGCGAACAACTCTTTTTTTAAAATATTTTAATAAAACTTTTGATTTTAAAATAACAAATTAAATTGGAAATATTATGTTTTGAAGGTTAAGATTTACATAACGAGTGGACTCAAATATAAATTATAGTTTTAACTTAAAATTAATTTTTTTTTTTTAAACTGCCTTACTTCTCAGGGAGTATGTATGGTATCCGTGGTATCCTCTTAAGCCTTGTATACTTGCGGTGAATAATAAGTTGAACCTACATGTATTTTCAAACTCGTCTGTCGTGTGATTACCGCAAGTACTTATGTTTTAATGAAAAATCACTTGATGTGTCCGCCTGACCGGAATCATTATAATAATCTAGTTTACGAAATCGGATTAAGTCGGACCACTCCGGCGCCGCAGTTTATTCGTGTTTAAAAAATGTATTTTTAATTTAAGTTGTTGAGTTATTGTTGCTGCTGGACGTCAGCGGGCTATTACACGTTTAGAGTGCTTGCTCTGGCGGTATGTTGTTAATTTTGTTTTTTTTTTTTGAAAATCCCGAATTTGAACGCCCAACCGTAGTAATTTACTGTAGATTATTGGCAGTAAGAAAAAAAAAAGCTAACAAAAGAACAAGTAAAAAAAATATCTTTGTAGGAAAATTACTGTTGCAGACATTCTGCGAGTCTATTCGGTTGATGAACTTTACCGGTACTGACACGACTAATTCATATACACCGGTTAAATGTATATTTATATTATATTCATTGGCCGCTGTTTTCGCCTGACAATCATCGACCATAGGTCGACGACGGGTGTCGGTTAATAAATTAAAATGTATAATTCGTTTAGAGGACTTGACGGGCAGACGTGGTGTAATCACGCGTGTAGACATTACGATTTGCATGAAGCATGTGATGTCTATATTAAAACGTCTATACGTACACATATCATATGATATATTGTATAGAGCGAGCTACAGGTATTTGTGTCCGACTGTGTATATATTGCAACGATTCCATTATGCGATTATACTGCACCGGTCGGCGGGGTATTGGTTTTTTTTGGGAGACGCCAACGTATTTTGAATTCCGATTAGGTTTTCGAGTTCCCCCGGGTCCCGTGTGTATCACATATACCTCTGCTGAAGTGAAATGCCCTTTAATTTATGATTTTAACAGCCGGCGGTTATGCAGAGATAACAGCTACACACGATATACTAGCTGAAGTCTACCGGGAAACGGACAAATAATTATTATCGCACTCGGCTCATCATATTGTACAAGAGTAATATTATACAAGTGGCGACTGCGTGTCGGTCGGCAAGGCGGCGATGGAGACGTTGTTAGTTAACGCGGTCACGATTCTATAATGATAATTATTATTATAATATGATCTTCTGCGGGTCTAGCGGCCGTAAAAAAAATAAAAGTAATGATCTATCGGAGCTCGCGGGCTTTCTCATTTTACATGTCAATAAAATTATACAAATACTTTACATACTATTATTATTACTATTGCGGCGTATTATGTACATACAACCGGTTCCGCTCCAATGGGCGACTTGTCAAATCGCTAATTAGTCAACGCGGTCCGTGATAGTGTTTCAGTATACAATTATTATACTCCATCACTTATGTGTCCAACAAAATCGATTCCCGTTAATAATTTTTTCATAAAACACATTTGTTGCACTCTGCCCAGACGCTTATTTGACCTTTAACGCGCGTTTCGACCACTTAGCCACGTAGGTACTGTTACTTGCGATCCGAACAGCACCGAATATCGTCAAGAGGTGCCAAAAAACCGCACTCGACGACTCGGGCTACATAATAAGTACCCATTAAATATATATCCGATAAGTTCTATACCATCCGTTACTCAATACTAAAAAGCGGGTTTGTTCAAAGCGTCACAGGTCACTTATGACCGTCATCATGGTCTTAATGTGCGCCAATTTGCATCCAACCCTCTCCGGGTTTCTGTAACATCGGCTACCGGACCCTGATATTTGTACTTCAAGTACAAAGGCTCGACAGTTTAAGTTACGTCAGCACTGAGCTGGAACGCAGGCCAGTTGTATTATAAAAATAAAACAAGGACTTTAATTTTGTGGGCCTGTCCAAACCGTCCATGGGTAACACTGACGAAGAACGGGTTTACAGTTTTTGTTATAAGTTGTATAAATGTCTACCACTTACAAACGTATATCGATATATTTCCAAACGCGCATCAATTACAAAATAATACTATGTATTTGTTCAATGCTTTCAAGAAAATATTTGAGTTTTATCATCGTTAACAATTTACACAAGTTGGTTTTTATACAAATAATATTTAAAAACAATGGTTTTGCTGTAGATACGATTTTGTGTTTTATGTTTGGAAATTAGTTGAATAATGTTCTGAATATTCTATGAGTGGTTTTATCTTTATAGGTAATAAGAGTGATGGTTTTTTTGGTAGTTTTACTAAATTTGTGATGTCTTCGTTTATTTGTGACTTCGGAGTTTGGTTGGAATTTTGTACAAGTTAGTTTCTGTACGTTTTTCTATTGTCTTGCATACTTTCATCTCGATTGGCTCTGCCCGCCTTTTACCTAACATCAGTTTTTTTTAAGTATAAGGTACTGCGCACATACGCAGCTGTATCATTTCTTATAATATGGAATATCTATATTATCTTTTCGGCTACAAATTAGTGTTATTACACTGGTGTTCGATTATTATTATATTTTTTATCGGAATAATAAAATCAGAAGAGAACTCAGAACGGACACGCGCCCCTTTCTATCTGTAATTTATATAATGGCCGATGCGTGGTAATTACCCCGGTACGGACTATCGTCGACCATTTTGTTTGGTAGTTTTTGGGTCTAAACAAATTATATTATTATTGTTGTTATTACAGTCAACAAAAACGCGAGGCAATCACGATTCGGAGTAATATAGTAATATGTATAGCGTAGCAGTAGCCGAACCAAACGTTTATTATTAGGTATATTATATTATAATATTCGTGTCACGTACTCCGCGTCCATCATAATTATTTCATTTACATTGTTTAACCCGACTAAAAGCGTTCGTGATCAATTAAACCGCACTTGTGCGCTTACCAAATGAGATTTATAAAAAAAATATATATAAACATTCTTTTTTTTTTCCCTTTTTAACCGTAAATGGGACAATAGGTCGGCGGCGCGTTTTGCAGTGTACAACAGTCGTTAAGTTGATGAGGTAATTATAAAAAAATAAAGTAAATAAAAACAAGTCCTGCCGCTTTGCCTATAATTATACAAGATAAAATGACGATTCAGTTTTTCTTTTTGCTATTTAACATTAACTCGTTGTGTAAACAAAGCAGAGACCAAGTAGATATTACTAAGCGTGCAATAAAATCTAGATGCGTTTTTAATGAAACTAATCAAAAAGCGTTTTGTGTGTGTTTAACGAGTTTTGAGTAAATGACGGGCTTTTAAAACTTTGCATTTAAACCCTACACTCTTTTAAAACTTTGGTAATCGTCTCTCGGATACTTTACAAGCGTGATACAAATATTATTCATTTTAAATGTACAGAGATTTGAAAAGTTTTTCAATCAGCCCAGTCGTCCCGACAACGCAACGGTGTGCCGGGTCTCTTAAAAAATAATATAAAATTTATTTTTAACAGTCTTTTATCATAATAATAATATTGTTATTATTATTGTACTAAAAAACCGGTACGGTTCGAGAGTTAAATTTTGTATTTCAAGGGAGAAAAAATATACACTTTACACGGCGGTGGGTGTGCCGTCGTTTGAGTCTGTTCTGATGTAGACAACATATTATAATGTATAATAATTGTAATCCAACGCGACCAATAGAAAAAATTCCGTCACGGCATTTTCCGTGCTTATTGTCTATGTAATATTTTATTATTATGTGTGACAAAAACATAAAATAAAACGGCGTTGACAATTTTTGAAGAATCCTATGCGGGCGTTTACGTTTAGTGAGAGAAGACGCCGCGATGAGGAGATAAAGAAAAACGCCGACCAAAACTGAACTCGTCATTATCGGGTACCTACTAAATAATATGACACCCGCGTTCCCACGGTGTATGTATCTACCGTCACTTCAAGTGACAATGAAGACGTTATAATATATTATTATTATTATTATTGTAGTACATTATAATGTACACCCCGTGTAATAATCGTGTGTTGTGCGCCATCATAACATTACATTATTGTTATAGCGGTCGCCTATTAGGCACGGCCAGGCCAGCGTCTTCGTCTCTACTTGAGTATTTTTTTTCCAACCGTAACACGTCGTCCGCCGCGTATCCACGCCCATCGACGTTTATACCTATAGTAATAATATTATATTATACACTATAATAGTAGCGTATCTACCCGGTTTGGTTATAGCGGTAGCTTACACGATGATAGGTATATAAAATATTATTATGATATCACATTATAACATCAACCGGGTGACATATACCCAATCAAATACACCGGCGGCGGCGTCGATTTGTATTTTTTTATTTAGAAATCCATACAATGTGTAATAATCCAATTATCATCTTTGTGTGTTGTTATAATAAAACCATTGTTGTTTTGTTGACAGGTATGTTGACAGTTCCCATCGCCGAGGTGACGTGGCCCATGATACTCGTGCTGGTGTCGTTGTTGTCCGCCGCGATTGGCGCCCTTTTCATGGTCGTCTTCCTACACCTCAAACTGTGAGTACCTGTTAATAATATTGTAATATTCTCGGCCACTTACTCCTTTATTATTATTATTATTATTATTATTCGTTTATCACACGCTACCACGTACAATAAGTATATGTCGTTTGCCTCTCTCCCGCTGCGGCACCAGCAAACATGGTACAACACTGAAACATGGTGCGGTGGCGTTTACTGTTTTTTTTTTTACAATTTTAAATTTATGTGTTAACCGAAAATCGTGTGTTCGGGGTACGGTAATAAAATTAAAAGCGAGAAAAAAAAGACTTGCGTATTATAGTTTGTATAGCTCATGTCATTCGAGATCTAAGTGGAATTAAAAAAAAATTGGGTATAATCAAATAGTACCTATAGTTTGGATAACGGATTGTTATATGCTGCATATTAAACAGTATATAATATGCGCATCTTTTATCGCGTAGCTTATCAATATTTTACTTTATAGGGCAATTTTATTTAGAACTTAAAATCTTGGGTTTCGCTTAGACACTTTTTGATAATACCTCTTAACCTATACGAGTATGGATACCATTTTTCTAAAATTGCATGCGATATCTCTAACATCTCTCGTCGTCATTCTCACTTACTGGTTTTGTCATCATTTCATTCGTCACGCGTGATAGAATAAATAATACTTCCAAAAGTATTTCTGATGTTTTCACAAATCAATAGTTAACAATCTTCAATACCGAGTAATATTTCTTATTACCACTTTCATGTCAACTCAAGTCTGGGTTAGGCAGTGAATGATGAGGTCAAACCACTGCCCGGGCCTGTGTTTTACCAACTTGTATGTTTTGCAAAATTCTTTAGTGCAGCTGTTGCCACCAATCTAGTTTAATGCGTTGGGCACGCGATGACTTTTGCGCATTTTGAGTTGTATTATTTTACCCAGTCTCTTATCGCGGGTTCAGTGTTGTAATTATTATTGTTGTATCGCATACAAGCGCCCACGCGACAAATACACGACTGGTTTAGTTTACAATATTTATAAAGCACAATATAACATAAGAGTGTGTATGTGTGTATGTAATGTAAACACACGATCATATTGTAAAACGTCTGTGCGCGCTAATGCGTGCGGCACAACCGTTGTACCTATATACATACTTACATATAATATATATCAATATAGAACATACACGCCTAACACATAATATAAACGCATTGCGGTTATTATCATATTATGCGACGGACATACTGGCGAGCAAATTGGCTATCGGCTCCCATACACTGTTTAAGCGCATAACTCACCACGGGCTTCGCTTAATGCCATTCCGTATAACGTACATAGTGTGCTGTGTGTGTATATAAACGCACTTATATGCCCCGTATATGTATAATTAATATTATTGAACAATTGCCGCAGTGCACTACCACCCCACTGTCGCTTGGTGTGCGCCTGGTGGACGACCTCAACCGAAGGGCCGAAGTTAGGTCAAGTATTCGGTGGGGTCAGTACACCGATCGTGTTTACATATTTTACAATACCTGGGTTTAACTTTTCCGCAATCGATTTACGTTTACATAAAATGTATGATTCGTGTCATAGTGTTGTAAAATATAAATGACGGGCTCTCGTTGCTGCGGGGATAAGATCGGCAGGCAAAGACGACGGCCAGTGTAGGCACATAATGGTGTGAGTAAAAAAAAAAAAATTCCACTTGCGCCGCATTTACGTGTAATGCTTTTTAGCGTGTGTTCGCGAAAAATTGCCCCCACGCGGCCGTTCCGATGACTGCAGTGATTTTATACAGGAAAATTATATATTATACAAATAAAATGTTTTCCAATGGCAGCCCGAACGTACAAAGTACATATTATTATTATTATTATATAGGTAGGTACACCGGCCCAAGCCATTAGCAATAAAATTTATCTGTAAAGCACGGCCAATAACTTACCCATATGCGATAACCACCGCGACAGTGCGTGTATACCGTGTGCAAGTTCTTTTTTTTTATATTGCTTGAGTTTTACAGTTTACCTCACCGCGACGGTGTATACGGTCTAATAAAAATAATCTATAAAACAGTACACTGTAGTATACAATCAACGTACTATGTATGAGTATAATAATAAATATTATTTTTTATATATTACCGATGTACATAAGCGTATGTACATTTTCTACTCGATAAGTACGGTCCGGTATAATTCTTATAGTTCTAACAAAACTTACATTCTAGATAAAACGAAGGTCAACGCGCACAGGGAAACGAATGACTTCATGGGTGGTTGATATTAAAAAATCTTCAAGGTTTAACGCGAAAAAAAATAATAACCTTCGCTGTATTGTGCCAAAAAAAAAAAAAATTGTTAAAAAAGGATGTGCGTAATTATATATTATATTATAACGTATACGGGTAACACCTCGGTGATAATTTAATCCAACAACTATTATTACCATAAAATCCGAAGACTGTGTAATTCTGGTAGACTAAACTATAATTTGTATTCGAATAGACGGACTACACAGTGTATGTATAGTATAATCATCAAGTCATAGTAATAAATAACGATGTATCGAAACGGTGTTTAATAATATTTGATGTCTATTTATTATTATAAACTATACATGTTAACAATGTTAACAACTTAATAAACAGTTTTAAATTTCTAAAAAGATTCAAATTCTTTTAAATCGGATTTTTAAAACCTAAAATCTATAATGACCTAAAAACACTTAATTTAAATCATTCAGGTTTGGCATTGCGACCAGCTCTGTGTATATTTATGGATAATTAACTGATGTTTGTTACGGTTATGTTTGTATGCTTTTGTATGGTTTTCAATATAATTATTTAGTATTTTATCAGTACACCACTACAATATATAATATCGTCATATAAAATTTCTATAATAATTTGCGAGTTATTAAAATTATTGCTGCGGTTTGTTTTTAAGTATCTTTAATTCTTCCCTGTTTTCATCTTCATTTTTCAAATTGTATCTATGATATACAATATCTCATTAGTAATTGGTGAATAATTTTGGTCAATAACTGAAATTATTCATTCTTTAATAGGTATCACTAAACAACGGTTTTTTTTTTGTTTCCCTGACCTTGGTAAATTATTTTATATAAAATAGTAGTATCATTATTATTATGTTCTATACAAAATCGGCCTGTCGTTATGCGGCGTATAATTAATGGGCAATACCGAATAGATATTATTATTATGTACTATACACTGAACCGTTTATCCGTGTGAAAAAAACTCATCGGTCTGCTGAACGGCAAACTTTGATAGTATGTAATTACTGAGTGTGTTTCCAACTGCCGTGTGCTCTATGGCGGCGGCTTAACGATCATCTGTCAACGGGTTCTCCTCCTCCGTTCTCCCGTTTTGCTATAATTTGTCTGGGTTCTCGTTCAAGTGCCCCGCGGGTCCAACTAAAAATCTTAATACAATATATTATACAGTTATATGCTTACAGCGAGATAGATAAGAAGAAGACGCGACCAATTACACATTTACACCGCAACCCGTCGACCAATCGACAATCGTATAGGTCTAGATCGTACTGCCCTTTTGCCATGTGATATGTACTTTTTTTTAACTAGTTAATCAAATAGCCTCTATTTCTAATTTGTATATATTTTATAATACAACATATTAGGAGACCGTGAGACGACCCGAACAAGGGCGAAGACCTAGATTATCTATCGGTGACCGATAAATATACCTATTGTTTGCTTTACTCCAAGCTAAGCCCGTACCGACAAGTACATCCGGTGTGGGCGACTCGGCTTTTGCGCAATATTAATCCGTATATATATAAATATACACATATATATACTGTGTTGTGTGCAAGTCCGGACTTACACGCAAGGCTTTGCTCGGCTATACATATATAATAATATATTTATTACCGTTGCTGTGTATTTTTCTTATTATATTCTCGGATCATACATGATGTATTATCACATTATACAACTACTATTATTATTTTTCTATCGTTTCTCTAATATGATTTATTTGGTTATTTTTTCAGACGGTTGTCCGGTCGCACAGCGCCCTCTCGGCCAGGTGAGTGTCTCCCACGTTTTATGAATATAATTTATACCGTGTATTGGAAATAAAGTCCAATGCAAACTAAAAAAAAATATCGATCCACCTCAACATTGCCATTATTATAATATCAAAGTACAGAAAAGTTGTTGTTCGTAGTTTTGGCGTTTTTGAGTATCTGTAGGGATCATAAATACAAATGAGCGTTTAACATAGTAACGTGTTTTTTTCTTTTATTCGACACTTATTAAGAGGTACTGGAAATTAATAATGAGAGGTAAACACGTCAGATGAATATTTGTCTTAGCCTAATAGCGATTTGTATGGTATATTGTAAAAAGATCTTTAACGGACCGTGTATATTATAGCTAAATAAATTGTTGTCATAAATAAAAAAGCGAAACGCCAGGAAAAATTAAAATAATATTCCGCAATAATATCATACGGTGAATAAGTATAAAAGCAAACATTAATTATAATAAAAACAATTTACAAGAATACATTTGAGTGTGCGGTAAAAAAATCATTTATGTTTTTTTAAATTCTTAAGAATTGATTATACATTCGAAAATTATACCTATAATTCATACATGATAGACACTGTCAGTTTTTCAAAACGCATATTATTTTCAAATTCTAGTAATTGCATACAGAGACTTGGAATGGAATAATAGTTCGGTGTAAAATTGAGTTTATTTGAGCTGTATAACTTTTAACCCCAAATTTCTTTGTGGTATTTTTTAAAGATATTCAAGATGTCTCGCCAACTCGGACGGGATGATACTTGTGTGTTTAATTAGAAGTCGCCAGATTCCTTTGAAATCTCTGTACGGTTTTACAGAAAAACGTCTGTGTGTGTTATTTTCTCAGAACCTAACCGGCGTCCATGTAACATCTGGAACGTCATGAATTATTATTACTATTATTTTAAAATATGGTTTTTATTATGATTTTGTCTCCCTTTTTCGGTTTCTATTTTTTTCGAGCGAGGTGATTAAATACAACTTCGAGACAACGATATATTATATTATAATAGTAAAGTAAAAAAATTTACATTGTCGAAAAAGGCAAATAAATCTCCGGTCGATTAACACAAAACATACAATACATATGTATAGCGTTTTACACGCACGAGCGATATAACAAAAATAAAAAACCAGAGAAAAAAACGCTAACCCAAACAACAACGATACTCGATAGCAAGTTAAAATAAAACATAACATATTTACATATGTATAATAACTTGGGGTAAATTTATGAGTGTTATACTTGCTCATGGTTTTATGATGTCCAACAGTACAATCGTGTGAGCATGCGAATTTATCACGTGTGGGCGATGAAATTTTAAGTAGAACCACGTTCGGTTATCGCGTTTAGGGAAATGTTTTGCACATAAATAATATCCGCAGCTAGTACAAATGTATGATCGTATAGTTATTATTTAAAGTTTTCTTGGTTGGAGCAAAATATTTTTTTATTAAATTTAAAAAAATGCAATTATTCACACGATTTTGGTCCAGTTTATAGGCTATTCTAAAGACATAGTTCATAAGTGGTATTGTTATTATTACCGAAGTAAACCTATATTTGCTTAGCCTTCCATTTCTGTATCTTTTGAAATTCGTACACAGTAGACCACTGGCAGCATAAACATTCATGTCTAAACATTCCAAACCATTGGAAAACGATTCCGAACTGATCAGTTTGGCTTTGGCTGCCTAAAAGTGATTAATCCGATCACCACAATGACTTGGAGAAGACGTCGAGTGCGGTATTCGTGGGCCATTGACAGTATTAGGTTGTCCGAACAAACCGGCAGTCGCAACGGTAATGGCAAGAAACGAAAAAGCTACTGTAGCTCATTGATGGCGGAAAAAAAAATAAAAAGGACGTCATCCAATTATAAGAGAAACTATGCAAGACTAATCGCTTAGCAAAGAATGGAAGGCACTTTTAAAAATTTAATTTGATAGCTACATTAAAAAATAAGTTAATATGTCTACTTATTCATCCAAGTTGCATTTAATAATAAGTCAAAGTTTAATACGCGTCCAATAAATAGATTATGTTTTTTTGCATGTTCAACACATCAATTAGACATATATTTTTTCTCTCATTGTTAATAAACACAGTGCCTTCTGCATTGGGGAGGTTAGGTTAGGTTAATATTGGGAAGAAGGAGTGGGTTGATTCGTCCAAGTACACATATTGTAATACATTGACGGCGTTATATTATAATATAGTGTGTTGTGTATGTTGTCCGCTCATACAGGTCGTGAGAGGAAAGTCTCCAAGACTTTCGATGCGTACCGGCAGGACGGACAACCACTGCAACAGCGACAACGACAACCGACTCCTAGGAACATCATATTATTACAACAATAATAATATAATCTCAAAAGTACCGTCGTCGCTGCGTGAGTACCATAGCGCATCACTCACATTCCATGGGTTTTTGGGGTGAAGGATGTTTTTATTAACACAATAATCTCAGTACTTACCGCGCTAACCATTATATAAGTACCATAGGGCAACCGCTTTTTGCTGCCCATGTGAGAACTATACGCCTATATGTATAAAAAAAAAATAACGATCTGGGCCTAATCGTGGTGGCGGCGGTACGGTGGTAGTATAGTATGAGAATAATACGTTGGTGCTCACACAAATTTTCAACTTGACAGAACAATACACCGGCCAAAGCGAATTAATACATATACCGGACGGACCGATGAAGAGAGATTATAATATATTACAATGTACCTATGTATGCCGGCAACGAAATTTATGCGTCCGAATCGGATAGACATCATGGCGCAAGAGGTTATTTTGCATTCTCCCCTTTATAGGTATAATATAATATACTCGATATGCGTTTTTATTTGTTTGTACAACGACCATAGGTATATACTCACTTAGGATGAGCCAGTTCAGTTTTTCTAAGTAATAGTATAGGTACGCCGGTACGCGACCGTAGCTATATTATATAAAATATATGACCGAAGCAGTTTCCGCCGCTGTCCATTACCGGTGATATATACGGTGTATAATAATTATTGTAAATTATTGCGGTCGTAAAGCTTTAGTTCGAATTAAATACTATGCCTAACTGTTTTTATGTATGCGTGAACTGACACAGTAGCATGCTCACGGACACGGAGCTAATGCTTCACATACACGGCGTGGACTCTAAACTTGGAGATGAAATAAATTTCGGCGCTAAGACGTCCGCAACAAGACATTTTTGCATACTATAATTATTTACCATAATTGTTTTACTTTCAATTGGGTTCAGGATGCCGTTGCTCTTTACCCGTTCTCCAGTATAATTCTGGACTGTTCAAAATTAAATTTATAAATGACTCGTTCATTTTTGCGATGCTTGTCGCCTGCAAATTCCAAGAACACGACAGAGACTCCTATGAATTGCTTAAATCATAAATTTGGGTGTGACTAATGTAGAATGTTGATTGATGGGTATTCAGCACAAATAGAACCTATTATTTAAATATTGTGAAATTATTGTTATAATTATGTTTAGAAATGTCAATTTTATAATTTTCTGTCTGGAATAGCGTTCATGTTTATACACAGAAGTGCTTTTTCTTTTATTTTAATATTTTTGTTTTGTTTTAAAAAACGCATTAAGTATGATATTAATTCAACCAATAAAGAAAATATATCTTTTAAAAAACCATAAATACCTTATGTGTTAACATGGTATTTTCTTTTTTTAATCAACATTGCATATATGAACGATTAGTAGTACACAAGCGGTCAAACATATTTTTATAGTTAATTAACATCCCGATAGTGTATAAGATCTGCGCGTAGACTGTAGACTGTCTTCATACATTATTTATACAATATAATATTAAAATAACATTGCCGGTCCGCCGCGGTGAATAGCCATTTTTTACTAATTAATTGTTCAAACCAATGTTTTATAATATTTGTTTTATAATTAAGAAAAAAACACGAATAATTTAAGTAAAATTAACATTACACCTTTATTATAACATTTAGTCATAACGGTAAATCAAGGTCAAATAGGGTGATTGTTGAAGCATTTGGGGCGGATGTAAGTTAAATTTTCTTTTACAAGAAAAAACAAATGCGTTTAACCTTCGAAACACATCAACACCATAATTTACAATTAACATTTAAAGTCGTTAATTAACATCGAATTTTTCTTTCAGTATTGTCTATAAATTCAGCTTTTATACAATATTTATATTTAAAGTCTCCGGGTTTTTAGTATTGTATTTTTCAAAATTCAAAATTACTGTCTATGTTGCCTGCTTAATCTATCGGTGAGCTTTTTTAAAAAAATAAAATAAAATAACGAACAACAATTTTTTCACTGTACATGTTGTGTAGATAACTATTTATTAGTAAAACAGATCAAACTTTCCTCAACAAGGAGTAACACTGGTAAATAAAAAGAAGGTCTTACTGATTATTATTTCTGAACTAAGCGTCACTAAATCAGAGTAAGATCGCTAATAAATTATAAAAACTATTTGCTACAAATACTCCGAATTGAGGGAGGTTTCAGTTAGATCATCGATTTAAGATTTCTCTTAAGTCGTGGTTAGGTCTCATGACTAATCTGTATTAATAACTACTGCAAAATATAGTTTTGCGCTAAATTTTACATATTATAGTTTTTTTTTTTTTTGTAGTTTTTAATTGATTTTGTTTTTTGTTTATTAGAATGTTTGGTGTCGTTCGAACCGCCTACGGACAGGGTTCATCACCATCACCACCATCACCATCAGCAGCACCAACGTCGCATATTGGGCGCGGCAGCTGGCGACACTCAGCGCCGTGGCCCGGTCAGGCGGTCCGGCCAGGACACCACTTCCAAGTATTCGGGTGGCCCGGGACGGCCGGCCGGCGGTAACGGACTGGTCGGCGGCCGTGGCAACCGGGACGGTGGCCACGGCGGTGGTGGCGGCGGCGACGGCGGAGGAGTCGGTGGCGGTGCCGGCCGGCAGCTGTTGTCCGCGGTGAACCCGGGCGATTGGTTCCGGTGGTTCCGGCGGAAACGGCGCGTCGCGCTACCGCCGAACGCGGTGCCGCCCAACCAGATCGTCCGGGCCAACCATTATACGGTGGAAGAAGCAGCCGCCGCCATACCGGTGGTGGTGTACGCGTCCGTCATCGGCCAGGACGACGTGCCCGTGGTCGACGACGTGCTGTACACCGAACTGGACCGGGTGCCCACGCCCGCCTACCACAACGCCGGTTACGCTTTCGACCAGCACAGCAGCGCCTACTACTCGGACATGTACGAGCCCATCGACCCTTACCACCAGAGGCACAACTCCTTACCGTCGGATTACGTCTGACGCCGGCCTTAGGCGACTACTACCTAATACAACAGCCACGGCGATTACCCAAAGACGGAGCACGCGTTAAATATACAAGGTGAGAAAGATAATAATAATTGAAAATACAAAGAGCCGAGGCCAAAAAAAAAAATTAATTTACATTTTCCCCCCTTTGAAGTGTCTGCCTAAAACTAGAATAAATTAACTAAAAAAATAAATAAATAAATGGTACCTGTCCTGACTGCTGACCGTCGGAATTATTGTTATAAAGAACAAACTAATTTAAACATCTAGTTTCGAGAGTGGGACAGAAAGACATGAGGGAAATGAGGAGTAACAATAGGATTAATGCATTTAAAAACACACAAGCGAGTCAACCTTTAATAGGAAGTATCACTTCTTTGAGTTCTGATAAAGGCGTTGACTTGTCTAACGCTCGATATGAATATCAAGTAGAAAATGAGACTGTCGATAAACAAAATATATAATTTTTCTTAATTAGCGTAAATTGCAATCTATGTAATTTGACCGGTATATGAGACACTAAGGTCTAAGACTTTATAATGGTGTAATGGACTCGTACAAACATTGTATTATACTAATATTATCTACATTGTTTTCTAGACTCGGTTCCGCCCAAGTGTTGCTATTAAAATCTGGAGGTTAAATCGTTGTACACAGTAATTGTTGGTGGAAGTAAACCGTTTTTTCGAAATGTATAAATAATATCCAAACAAATAAAACAAAACCGCCGTATTAACGCTCGCACAAAATAACAATAAAATCGCGATTTCAATTATTTTACCCGAAACCCGTCGTCGGTATTATAATATGTATTTATTGCAATGCGACAGTTTCTACATTGTAATAATATATTTGTGGAAAAACGCTACGTGTACACAATATAATATGTGAATTCCAAAAAAAAAATTTAAAAAACGGAACTTGAGACGAAGGCGACGCGCGTTTACATAATATTTCTTTGGAATCACTATACCAGACCGCGGCGTAACGACAATAATAATATGTTATATTATTTCTTGTTATTTTTTCGTAGGCAACACATTTTTTGCATACTTAGCGGCAAAGAATATGGAAATAATATATTATTCGTCGACCAAATTCTTCGAATTCGACGAGATCGAAAGAGAGAGAAAAGGCTGTCGACCGCCATAATTTATAATATTATAAAATAACAAAATGCCTTTAAACGGAGACGCTATCGCTGTATAGAAATTAGAAACTTCCAGTTTGTCATCTTCGAAATCACCAATCCGTTTTAAAAGTTTCTTCTTATTTTCAAGTGTTATGAGAACACATATTATAATTCATCGGTACACACTCACTTGTAAACGGTGTGGCAACTTCCCCGTTTAATTTATATGTAAATGTTCGGTAGCAAAATGAAGTCGACGACGAGAGCGTTAAAAAAAACTATCATTATTAATAATGAATTCACCCCTCGAAAAATATCAATTTAAACGAGGTCGCGCCGTTATTAAATTGTAATTATGGCCCGCATGCGTTATACTATTATTGTTATTATCACCTTTTTACAATACCGACCGTCTAGTGTGTACATATTCAATTCGAACCCTCTTGGCGTTTAAATAGTGGTGTTCGGTTGAAACTCGATAATTATTATATTTTGGTTAGCCGTTTCGCGCCCGATCCTAACATGTTTCCGCCCTTCACTATGACATATAGTCATCATCTTCGTATCGTCAACTACATCCCGAGTGTACATGAGTACAAATAATTAAGAAACGTATGCGGTTGTGTTCGTTTGGGCCGCACGTGGGAACGCCGGCCCGAAATGAAATATACATACAAACCCACGGCGAGTCTTTTTGATATTCCCCAAAAAGATTAATAACCCAAATCATTCACAGTCACCTTTGGCTCGTTACGATTATTATTATTATTTATATTTTTTAATTAAAATCGCCTTACGCCGCACTATGCATACCGACACACTCGACGGGTTGTCATATCAAAAGGGAAATAATTATTAATTGCACGCACACGCGATACGACATATTTACATAATGTGTATAACAAGCTATATTATTATACATATAGGCAATGTGTTGCCCGTTGGGTTATGATAGCTGCAAACGTCCGGCAGCGAGTGTATCTCTATTTGAATACTACACTTTGTATTCTACACGTGCTGCTTGGTCCGTAAACTGTGCATAACGAACAAAATATACAATATTAGTAATTTTGAGTTGAATTATACGCTTCGATTTCTCGTCGAATAGTAAGTCGCTTTATTTTCAAAACATATTCTGCCAGTAACAATGTGGTTTTGTATGAGGAATTCGCAAGAAATCGCTTAGAACAATTATTGTTTGATTTATTTTAACAGGAGACGAGGGATTTTTTTTTTAATTCACCCAAGACTAGTTTAGATAGTAGGCATAGAGTTTTTTCGTTTCATCCAAGACAGTGAAATGCGGATCTATATGCATCTTTACTGTGCATAGTTAAGCCCTGTGCTCCGGGCGTTATTGGACATTTATGTATATATTATGTATTAAGTGTTTTTATGATCCCTAACCGACGAAAGTGACACAAAAATATCAACTATTTAATATTCTGTTTAGTTTTCACGTATCATAAAATAAAATAAAAATATTAGCACTCATTTTTTATTGTTTGTTTGTTTTTTTTATTACAGAAAATGTACACTTCTGCAGCGGTCAGATACTTACTCATACACACACACGTATACAAGACAACGAACATGTGCAACAACGACTATAATAAAACATTAGAACGGAAGGCGACGACGACGTTAGTTTGTAATAATAACTATTATCATCATTATCATGGGCATAGCTCGGTTTTTTTTACATTTAAAATGTTTTTATTGTACAGAACGAGTAGGTATAAAAACGTTAACGACCGAATTTCTTTTTTTTAAACCGCCGCGCCGTCGATCGTATGATTTTCTACACTTGGCAACGATTTTTGCACTATTTTATAGCACTGTTCGCGTTAACGGTATGTTACTTTAGTTTTGATATTATTATCGTTGATAATAAAAATGTTTAACTATATTCCCTGTTGTTTCACAACATTCATTAATAATAATCAAACATTTTTTACCTTCCATAGCTGTAATTGTCGTTTATTATTATCACATCGTTGTACATATTAATATACATAATTTTCATAATAGCAATGATAATAATAATTACACACAAGTGTACTTTTTTGTTAATAATAATAATTATAATATCATCATGTATTAGTTATAGTAGTGCCTTTCACTGTCGACGTCCTTTACCATCGTCAATCGCTTTGTTTATCATAATTTATAATATTATCGTAGCCAACGATTTTTATGTGTATATTATTTGTAATAACGTTATTTTTATGTTATTTTTTTTCTACGGTTTGTAATATATTCATGTACAAAATGCAATATAAATTATTATGATAGCATCAATTTTGTCTTTATTTAATTTTTAATTTTTTCGTTTTTGTTTCGTTTAGAAGTGTTGTTAATAGTAGAACAAATTAAAAAAATACAATGAAATGGACTAGAAGCATGCTATGAAGGAATGGAGGAAAATGATTTATTAAACATAAAGAGGGATTTAGAAGTGACCGATGTGGATAGAATATATCTCTGTGATTGACATGGTTATTGGCATGGCCGGAATTGGACCATTTGTATGAAATAAGATGAATAAGAAAACTATCTCAAATAGTCTATTTGTGTTTGTTTTCAGCATTTAACAAAAAAAAAATTCATAACACGTTCACTGTCCGATTACCCATATGTGGTTCATGATTTATTTTTAGATAAGTCCCTAATTAATTAATTAACTAATTAAGTCCCTATCATCTCACCTGTCCAATTGTGTTATTATTAATTTCATAGAATATAGTCCATACAAATAAATCTCCAGAGAAATAAATGTTTGAAATGAACCATATGTGGATCATGGACTACTAAAATAGGTTTAACGTGACCCATTTATGGATCATAGGACTGATAACATTTGATTTAATTTAACATTAGGACAGTGAACGTGTTAATACCTAAATCGAATAAAGGTATATTTTAACAATTTATTACTAAAAACTCAAACCAGTTTTTTCTGCATTGAAAAATAAATTAGAATGTAATCACGTACGAGCATGTGATCAACTAAACTGTGAATATTTTATTGGTGTAAACACATTTACTTTTAATATGCCTTGCTAATAATCAGGCGTTAAATTAAAAAAGTTCAACTACTTTTAGGTTTATTAAATATTAAGTATTCATATGGAATAAGTAATCCTTTAAAAAACAAAGCAATAAATATTTACAACAAAACACATCTTAACAGGTAACATGAATAATAATACGAAAACAGTATATTTTAAGTTCAACGTGTACCTACATTGAAATTATTTTGTTTTTTTTTTTAAAAGAACAATAAAATTATAAATGTATTTTAATTACTAAATCAAATGGTGTTACTTGTTAGTACCATAATTTTTGGTAACTAATAATAGTAAATTTGTTAATCAGCTATGAAAATGTATTTTTCTTTCGTTTTGTGTACATTAAAAAAAAATGGAATATAGGAACTATTAAGCTAGTAGAATTCATATTTACTTTAATATTGTATGTGTGGGGCGAGAAACCAAAAATGTACAAGTTATTGGCATCCACCACGTGTAGCTTGAATATATTTCAAAACTGAAATTACTACTTGCTTCTTATGTATAATAAAGCTGCAACAAATCCTACAGCTATTCTGCTGGTACACTTTTATGCTACCCCAGAATTGTTTATTAGGTACTATGCAATATATGCACAAGTATACCTACACGTTTATGATCGCCACCATATAGTATACATGCAATATAAATGTTTTATTTTTCTTTGCCGCCACTCCGGATCGTACCATAAATAATTGTTTTTAATTGGCGTACGCCGAAGTACTGCAGTAGTAGTAGTTGGTCATGTAATATATTATATTATTTAGTACTAGTCGTTGTTACTATATATATATATATATACATTATTTTATTATAGACATGTACTACGCACATATCTACATACTGTATGCGCGCATTGACTGGTAATTTTTTACAATATCAACTTCCACATAATATAATAATTATGTTTACACTGTTATTTTTTTAACATACACATAATATATCGCATTATGCGTTGCGCGTGGGCGCCCATGCGCTTAGTTCACCCGCACCCTTCTGTCACTAGGCAGACCTTATTTACTTTCAGTCTGACAACGGCAAAACTTATAATATTATCCTAACTTGAAAGAAGCTGTGGTTCGATAACGGTAACAACAGTTAAAATAGTTATAATAATTTTAAGGAAAAAAAACGATCGTCTTATATTTGTTTAACAAAGCCTATGCCTAAAACTATACCTTATGGTTTTATACCCGTGAGTGTGTAAACGAATTTTCGACACTCGATTTGTTTGATAGCCGCTCTACTAACATTCCAAACGCCGAATATTAATATGCAGCATGTTATTGTTTACGAATTCTGTAAACCAAAAAAATTAAACTCGGAATGCCGTTGTAGAAAAACTGTAATTTTCCCAATAATCCTATGGTATATTGTTCACTTGAAACTGTAGCCTATCTAAAAGTACTATTTTCGAAAAAAATCAAGAAATCGATTTATTTGACAAACTAACGTTTGGCTGAACGGTTTTTATTTGGCATTTAATGTTTTTTTAATAAGTCTTCTTAATGTTGATTGAGGAGGATGGGGTATTTAACTCACGCTGCGTTAGAGTCGCTTTTGTGAGTTAGTGGCCAATACAAAGAATTTATGTTTATGTGTGTGGAGACTTGAAAAACCAAATAGTAGCTATTTTTATAGTGAAATTTAACTTGTACTCGTTAAAATATGTATATATTATAAATAACTTAAAGTTGTATAAGTTTAAAATTTAGGACGGGAGGTGGAGTACAGTTGAGAAATGCGTAAAGATAAAAATAACTCTACTCTCCACCCTTTCTCCTATCCTAAATATTAAACTTAAATACATTTAAAATTATTTATTTAGAACTGTTTATCGACCAGCCAACATTTTCTGCAAATTGTTCTTAACTTAAAAAGTTAATAAAATATAAACGTTACCATTTAAGTTTATAAAGTTGATAAAGCTTTAGAAAATACTAAAAAGATAAAAATTTGTATATTGTCTCATATAGTAAAATAGCATAAACAAAAATGTTTTCATAAAGAAACATTAAAAAATTATAATTATTTAAAGAGTTAACTAGTGCAGTGCGTAAAAAGAATCACCCGGTATAATACCATATTTTTCCTCGTGAATATTTTGAACAATACATGTTTATATAACAACTATTCTTAAGTTTGTCGTCATTTGGTCAGGTGCAACTTATAGACTACTAACAAATAAAGTATTACAAAAAAGGAATAGGAACTGGTACAATTTTGTTTGTATTGCATTCAACCGACTTGTGTCGCAGTTTTTTTCCGAATAAAATTAATCGACGACTATAGAAAATAAGTAGCCTTGAGCTCAAAAATGGGCTTATTCACACAATAAAACAGTCAATAAATTGTGTACGCTTGAATATCGAATTAACACAAAAATAACTATCAAAACAGACGCAACATATAAAGTTCAAATAATTGTTTTAGTTCTCAGTTGTTAATTCATAGTAGTTGTAATTCGTTGTACTACGCTCTGTGATTTGTGTGATCATTAATCGATTATTAAAAATGCATTTTAAACATATTATTTTAACGACAATATTATTTTTATTTTATTACTCGGTTATCGCGTATCCATCTTTGCCATCAGCCTCGGTATCAACTTCCTTATTAGCCCCGTCATCAATCTCGGTATCAGCCCCGGTATCAGCCCCGGCATCTGCCCCGTCATTAGTTCCGGCATCAGCCCTGGATGCAGGATGTGTGTGTACATATTCAGTGGAAAATAAGGTTGTAAAACAAAATTGCTATAATCGAATCACAATTATAATTACATAAAATAATAATAAATAATTTTTTTTATTTGTAATTTTTTCTTAAGCGTGTCATAACGGGTTGAAAAAGATATTGAGATATTCCTGAGATAGGTCATTTTTGACCTATGCGAAAATGGTTTATTTATTATGTTGATTTATTGAAACATATCTGATTTTTCGATGCATGCATTATTTTTAAAAACCTAAATTATGATATGTAATGACAATATACAAATAATTAAAAAATAGTATTAATGTGTAATATAATGATCGATTTTTATATACAATATTAATTGCTCTGTTAACTTCCAAGATATTTTTAGTGAGGTAGTTTGGTTTTTGAAATCTTGTGTTGCGTACAAACCATTTACCAATGTTTTATTTGAATTTTAGGATGGCGTGAATATGAAACCAAAGGTAAAATTATCGAGTAAATTTTACTTATATTATTATTTATAGCTTAAATAACTATAATAATAATAATATTATTATTTAAAATGTAACAAGTTATTAATAATAACATTATTACTATTATTATATTAGAAATAGGAGTTGTCAAGTAATTAAAAAAAAAAAATCATATTGATGTTAAATTTAATAATAATAGGTATATATTTATATATATATTTTTTTAGGATGAACATAATATTTCCGAAAACAATAAAGTTTCTTCGAAATGCTTGATAAAATGATTTGAAAATGATTGCGATTAATAGGTAATAAGTGTAAGAAGAAATTCATTATAATACATACTAGTTAATTGAATTATAATTTTGTTAAGACCTTGTTGGTTTATGGTTGACGAATAACGATAGCAAATCGTGTTAACTAATTTTGGATAACACATTATACAAAAATTATCAGTTTGTTAAATATTTCAACAATTAATTAAATTAAAAAACTTTTTATATTTTAATCACCAGATTTTCGTGCAACCGGGTATAAGTATTAACAGAATTATTAGTCTAAATACACTGGTCATTAATTTTCAAAGGTTTTACTTTGTACATACTGCATCAATTTAATATACATAATACGATATAATTTAACAAAAATAAATTTAATATTATCAAGCTATTAACAAAGAACATTTATTTATTTGTTCAAACACAGCCATTTTTTGAATATATATTTTTTTTTAGCCATCTCATGACGTTAATTCTTCGGAAGACGATCAGATATCAATTAATAACCGTTATGTCCATACAGTTCCATATTACTAATTGTTTAACAAGCTATTGTCCACTAAATTCATATGTAGCTCTATATTTTTAATCTGTTCGTATAAAAAATTGTCTTTTCTTGAAATATTATGTTGGTTTTATTGTACTCATTTGTATATACTAATAATATACTCGTATATAGTTGTATCTAACAATGGTAATCAAGTAATTTTGAAAATTCTCATGAAATAAATTGCTTAAAAAAAAAGGTCACTGCATTTATTTTGTTTTACAATATTCTAATTCATGTAGCGTTGTAATTTCCAGATCTCCGGATATATTTCATTATCAGTTTTATTTTGTTAAAAATATTGTTCTAGTAAAATAAAAAACATATTTTTTCTTTTGCTTAATTATTTTAACCATTAAAATTTTAAGATACAAAAATATTAAAACAATAACATAATTTATATTGGTAAGGTGGCCACACACTACAATTTTTTTTTTTCGGTGAACAGTGTTTGGTGCTCTTCAAACACCGTACACGAATAGTGTGTGAGTTTAACGGATGTTTATAATCGTCTAACTATGTAAGTTCAATTGGTCATTAAGTTCATAGAGTCAACACAGTGGATAACAATAGTTTAAGAGTAGTAAACTTGTAAAAAAAAAAAATTATTTTGACAGGTTTTTAATTTAACACTGATACATTATCGACAAGTTTGTGATTGGTGCTCTTTTTTAAAATTAGTTTTTAAGAAAAGCTAATTGATTTTTATCTTTTAAATATGTCTAACGCACCGGCGCGCCGTTCTAGTCACGAACAAATCAAAATTCGTTCAGTAATTTAATCATTGATTTTCTGACTTCTGAGTAACGTTTGTGTTTTATAATATTAAATATTTAACCATACTGGGTAAACGGATTTAAGGCAAAGTTAAAAGAAAGCAATTTTGCAGCATTCAAAAACAAATAAAAAATCAGCGTTTTTTTGTTTTTAAGAAGTAAACTCTATAAGCAATTTTTCTTCGATGGTCGAGAAACATTAAATTATTTATTAAAATTACGTGTTATTTTTAGTTGTAAGAAAATCAAACAGTATACTTAAATACTCATAAAAAAGAACACTATCAAATGAAACACATTTTTATATGATGGTGAAAAAAAAATGGTATTTTACATGGTTTTTAAATGCACATAACGTTCTCGTCTTTGGCACTTAACCTTATTATTACTGTCAACGACAAGAACAATAGTGCTTGTTTATTTCAGCCGGGATTCGAGTAAGTAGATTTGCTAAAAAATAAATAACATAGATGTTCATTGGTTTTCATCGAGCATTATGCTAAACAGTATTGCCGAGATCAAAATGTAAATACACTTAGGGGAAATCATTTTTGTGCCCGGGTTGTATTTTTTAACAACAAAACGACGATGCCGAGAAAAACTTTAAACCTTAAAAAATAAAAATGTCTGTGTATAAAGGATAGATAAGTATACTAAATGATATTATAGCAGGAATGTTGGATATAAATTCATAACACATTTCTATCGGCCGAAGTAGTTTGTGAACATTAGACGTATTTATTATTATTATTACTGTAACTTTATAAAATAATAATGACTAATGTAAAGAGGCACTCTTAATGGACCAACAATCAGACAAATGTGTGTTGGATAAAGATATTTGACACGGAGAGAATTAAATGAAACGTCACTGTCGACCTATGCAATACAACAGGAAACGCATTAAGTCAATAATTAAATAATATTATCACTCAGTGCCTGAAGTGCACAAAACGATTGTTTTCTTATTGTGTAGTCGTTCTGTTAAAGTTATATTGAAAGGTTGTGCAGACAATGTTATTAACGCATCAATTCCTTTTTTTATAAACCCTTTGGACAAGTCCATACTGCCCACAGTTAGCTTTGTTGCTAAACGTATGAGATATCCGACACTATTTTTTTTTTATATTGTCAAACCATGATTACGGAATACACTTAGGTACTGGGTTGTCGAGAAATCGGCATAGCTTCTCGTTTACAGTAGACGCATAATTTATTTATAAAAAAAATGTGAAACGCGCTATAAAATATAACGGACCGGTATATTGAATATCAAGTACTTCAACATAAATTATAAATATTAATAAGCGTTTAGGTGTTGTAAAATCATTTAAACACTTTTCGTTATTAGTAAGCAATATTTTATTGTATTATTTTTTTTTTATTCATGAATAATATTAAAATATAAACCACATGGGTAAAATAATATTTCCTCGACCGATCGTCGATAGGTCTATGTTAAAAATAATATACACAAATCAGTCCTTATAAAACGCACTCTTAGTTTTGTTTCATTTTATTTATTTGAGTGTATAAACATTATTCTTTGGATACCGAAAAAATCTTGTTTAATCGCCACCGCTCTGATAATCCGGTCGGCCGCCGCTGGTGAGATAAACGACTTAATTTGGATCCAACTCAAATCTCAATGCATACAAGGTGTATACAAAACTATATATCGTTGTCGGCACGACAACATAAGTAGCTTGATTCGAGATACTTAATCCATGGAATCGCAATAATTTATTGAACAAGTTTACACACTGCATAATTAAACATATACCTAGTTAATGTCGTTGAATGTATCGAGTGTAATATAGGTAGATCTTCAACACAATAAGTTAATTCAAACTTAACAAAGCGTTGGTTAATTATTATTTATTACACACGCAGATCCAGGACATAGGCTAAGGGGCTTTGACCTTACCTAGTCCTTATTTTTTAAATTTGAAGTCCAATAAAACCAGGCGTGGATCCAGGGACAATGCCTTAAGCCTGTCATACCTTTATTTTTAATTTAAAATCATCAATCCTAACGTCTTCCGGGTATGAATTAAAATAATACCTAATGGGTTCTATACATTAGGCTTCTACGTTCGAAAAAAAAAATACTGTACAACAAAAGAGTATCAAAACGAAATCAGATCCATTAGGGAAAACTAGCATTTTACTATCCTAACTTAGATACTAACACCAGCTCATAATTGTAATTTCTGGTAAGTTACCAGCACAGACCGGTGGTATACAAACACTTTAAGTTGTGACGGCTACGAGGTTCCGTGCAATTATTCCATAGAAATAATTTTAAGCAGTCAATGGACACGGGACACCTTGTATAATTTAATATAATGTGTGTAGTGTGTACTGTGACGGAGAGCAGTCGGTGCTCGTGCTGGTGAAACGGGCGGCAATAAATATTCGGTTATCGTAGGCATCGATATAATTAGTCATTGGTTCGGTTGATTTAGGATTATCGTATAAACTAAGGTATTAGTATTATCATAAATCTATACGTATAATACATATATGCTAGTATAAACGTTAGCAGCGCCGTATATAATATGTATATAAACCCATACAAACAGGTCTCGTGAGTTTAGAAACAACTTTAATAAAAATAAAAAAAAACCGATTCCAGAGATTGGATAATATAGTTGTCTCAAGATAATAATATTATACACATATTCCCGTCCCGTTACATACGGGACGTTATAATTATAACATCTTGTAGTATATCTTTGTATTTGTAGATAATATACACTCTCAGTCGTCGTTATAATAAATCTGTGACACGAGTGGGCGGGTTACACGTATGAAATTTGAATGGAAATGTTACACGGTTTGACGTTAAATTATATATTTTTTAATGAGATTTTAATTCCGACCGGACCGAACAAACCTATAAATGCGCTTCATCAAAATGGAAACGCGGTACGGTTGTTACAATAGTTACCGGGCACATTAATTTATATTAGCGCACGTCTGTGGAAAAATAAAAATTAAAGTGTGACAGAACACGTTTGCATTTGCCTATGATACTATTATCGTTTCGATCGTGTTGGAATAATAATCTCTAACGTCGGATTCAGTTGGCGAAAAAATCTAAACCGTCTGACAGAGAGTATTAATAACATTAGCTACTACTAGTAAAATTCTACACCAGCTAATAACTATTATACTATGTCTATTGTGTAGACATTAAGCGCTTGGAATACACTTGTCTACACTCACATCTTAGAAAATACAGGTCAAGTAAAATAATGAAAAATGTCTCATTGGGAACAACGTACAATACGATATTGGGAAATGATAATATTTTAAAAAATGTACATATAGTTTTTATTAAAACAATACCTACATTTCTATCCAATAAAACTCATAAAACGTTACAGTGTAGTCGGGTGTATTTCCATAATAATAACACTATTTTGCAAATGCATTCTTTGGACATTGTAGCATAAATTATACTACATAATTACTAACAATCATCAAACATAATGCATTTGATACATAATATGTACCGTCGAAATGTATATGTTTTTTACTATAAATTGTTACTTTCCGATAAAAATCTTTACAACCAGAAAACTTTGGCGTCGTCTTCGTGTAAAATATTGTAAATTAAGTTTAACATAATATATCGTAGCGTAAAGAAAATGCGGCTTTCTCATCTCCTGGGATTGTCGTTGAATATATTATACTACCGTAGTTGCAGTAAAGTTTATTGATTCGCTATAAGCTTATTTATGCAATTCCTTTCAAATTGATGGTTTACCTACACGCTAATGACTGTTTTAATAAATTAAAACGAAAATCACAGTTTTGTAGCCCGACATTTGCATATAGCACTTCTCTTTCCTCCGTCTGATCTCTTTTGATTTAATCATAGGCAGAGATTTCATTAATTTTTTGGGGGGGCTAGCATTTTTCTACCTAAAATGACCAGCAAGAGATTTACACTCCTAAATTATTAATATATAATACTATATAACATTACAAATGTATAAATAAAAATCATAATAATTATAATATAATATTTGTATATTATTTAAGTAAATACATACTATTTTAAGGCAATGTACCTATTCTTAGATCCAAATATATCAATTATTTTTTCTACATCAATATTTAAATCGTTTTCAATGTACAATATGGATGAATTATTAAACCTGTCTTGCAACATACTAGTACGTAACCATGTCTTAATTTTGCGCATAGCTGAAAAGCTGCGTTCGCATGTAGCTGAACTAATTGGCAAAGACAAGGCGACTTGAAATAATTTGAATAAGCTGGGAAATACATTTTGGGTTAGAGCCTTTTGAATTTGATCAATATTTATTGCGTTTTCTGAAAAATGTATAACTTTATTTAGCACTTGAATTAAAATTAAATGATAACATTATCAAAAACATTGTTATAATGTTTTG